CTCTATCACTACGGCAAAGGAAACAATTGATAAGATATATTGCTATCAGATTTGGCAATTCATTGAGCGCTCGATATATAAGAGATGGCTTTTCTGTCACTTCTTCGGGTGAGACAATCAATCGACGGATTGATGTCAATTTGTCGATCATATGAAACATCAGTCGATAACATGTCACACATCGGTTCACATGAATATCACATGCAATGTATGTCTCGTATAACAAAAGTGTCTTTAGAAGAGGGAAACACTTTAAAAGTGATTCAAAAGCCGATACTTTTATGTAACAAAAGACGAGTTCAAGTGTTTTGACTCTTGAGAATCAGTACGTCTTTTCTGTGTATTCATAATCAAGACATTCAGGATAATGGAGTGACAGATGTGTGAGATTTGTCTGCTTTTGTGCCACTCTTTGCAATCCGTGCCAATCATTGAAGACATGTTGTGCCAGTCATCGCTTATCCGATAACCCAATGCCTTGAGATTCATGTGATCAGTGATCACCTCAAGGGACTCTTCAGTCATTTTGATATCGAAAACAAACAGATAATCCAAATGTTTGCCATTACTGTCGACAATACTTTGTGCCAATTGTCGGCTCAATTGTTGCGATGAATTCAACCAAAGTTTCAAATATTTGATACTTTTTGGCAAACTTTTGATTACTTGTGATAAATGGCTGTCTTTTAAATGCAGAGTTAAAACTTGCAATTGTGTCAACTCTGGGATCACTCCAAAGACGTTGTCGATGTGACCCAAACACAGATTTACCACTCTTTTGGATAATAGTTGACTCAATTGTTGGATCTGTTCATCACTGAAGTCACGACAACCACCACTTATATCCAGTTTAGTGAGTGATTGGAAAGCATTCATAATCTCATAGAATGTCTTGAAATTGGTCTCAAACTGATGTAAAGCTTTCCGTCTGAATGGCACTCAAGGATACTATTGGGAAACACATAGTTTCTGGGAGTGACGGCTAATTTGGGACAATAGTTATTGATCTCAACACGAGAATTGATGCCAATATGTGTGAGTCTTCGGCACCAGTAGTTGACACACAACTGGAACTGTTTGGACACTCTTTCCATACGAATCCAATCATTTGTGTCCAGATATGAGAAGATGTCAATGAAGACATCGATGTTGAGGACAACCGGTGTCTTAATAGGAGGTCCACTCTCTTGGATACTACTCTTGTCTTTATCACTCATTTCAATGTTTTATCAATGATTTTAATAATTTGATAAATATATTTGTTTTTGAAATAAAAGACTCGCGATCTTTTTATTGTTATCAAAATTTCGGTTTATATTTTTAACCCACTATTAATTTGTGAATTTGAAATTAAAATTTTGAATTTAAATTATTTTCAAATATTTGTTTTAAAACAAAATTATTTATCAAAACATTATTTATATTATGCTGACAAAAGAAAATCAAAATTCATGTTTACTATTATTTAATGATCAGTGTCATTATTCCCTAATCAAGGATTTTGCAATTAATTTTGATGTTTTAAATAGAAATTATATAAAATTTAATTTACTAATTATTATTCCTGCAATGTTTTGCAATTTATTTATTAATCTAAAAAACGTGTGGATTATTTTAAATGGGAAATACCTGATACTGTATATACGTTTTTAATGTCAATTTAAATAACATTAAACATCATTAATCTCTAATTAAATACATTTTAATATTGATCAATTATCAAATATATTAGTGGGAAAGAGACAATTATTTTATTTTTATATCTAATGATAAATATTATACTTGTAATAAAAAAACTCAATTAAAATAGTTACTAAAATCCCCTAAATTTTCAAAATTATTATACAATTTATCTCATTGTATACTAGTACATTTTAATAGTGAGCAAAGATGAGCTCATTATAACATTTAAGCATAATTATAATCAATAGCACTACTATTTTTCTTATATTCAAATAGCCCTGAACTATAAAACCTTTAAAATTATTTTACTTGCAAAATAGTTTAAAATACAAAAATATTAACCGTTATATTAATGACAAAATGTGTAAAAAAACTTGAAGTTATTGTTATTTACTTTCAAATACAGTATTTTAAAATAACATGTCTGTAAATAATTTCTATAAATGTTTCTATTATAAAAACTAATAAAGGATTTTTGAGAAATGTTTGTCCTCATGGAATTTTTATATGATAATGATTAATAAAAATTAATGTAAACTATAATTATTTACTAATTATTACCTATATTTATAAATAAATTGGTATTGAAATTTTTTATATAAATAAGAAATTTAGTATTATTATTACTATTTTACATATGATCTTGCAAAAATGAAAAATACTATGCATATTATAAGCGAGCAATGGTTACAATGGAATTATTTACTGACTAAAAATTCATTGATAATATTTTTGATAAGTATTTTAGTGTTATATTTGGCAGCTATTTATATTAAGTTTAGAATTAATGCAAATATAATAAATACAATACCGGGTCCTAAAGCCAACAATAATCTGATCGGAAATCTTGATTTGTTTTATTCGTCCGCCTATTCAAAGCAATGGTTTCAAAGTATGTATTTTTATTTTTATTAAAATGTGTAATTGAGAGTTAATTTTTTCAAAAATTATTTATTTATTTATCTTTTGCTCCTAGATACATATAAAACACTAATAAATTTGTGTAAATCCTATCAAAAGGAGGGTGTATTTAGGTTATGGATCGGACCTTTCAATCCTATTATAGTTTTATTGAATGCCGAAAATGTTGAGGTAAAGTAGCAAGGCATGGTTTTATTTTCAATATTTATAATTAATATGTGTTTGAAATTTCAAATAAAATAACTATAAAAGGTATTGCTATCAAATACAACAAATATTTCAAAGGCTTTTGAATATAAATACCTGAGACCATGGCTTGGATGGGGTCTTTTAACCAGGTACAGTAGGTTTAAATCATTTTTAAGTTATTTTCCAAACAAAAATTTATTAAACAATTAACTTTGTAAGTAAAATTTATTTGGGTAAAATTAAATAAAATGTTTTATTATAAAAGCACTGGTAGTAAATGGACAACACATAGAAAGCTATTGACTCCGGCGTTTCACTTCAAGATTTTGGAGAATTTTTTGCCCACAATTGCAAACCAACAGAAAATTATGTTTTCATTGATTGATAAAGAAATGGCCGAAAATGACGGTGTCGTCAATGATATAAGAAAACTGATTACAAACTACACTCTCGATGCTATTTGTGGTATTGATTTACAGAATAACCTTAAGGTTAATGAAAACTATATAAAAGTAATGTCTGACCCATAGAGACGGCAATGGGTGTGACTGTGAGCGCACAACTGAACCCAAACTCCGACTACGTTGAGGCCATTCGCCGCACATTTGCCGTCTCTATCCTCAGGTTTATAAAGAGGTAGACAAATATATTCACATCTTTGCCATAAGTTTATCTCTCGTTTCTGTGAATTGAATGAACGAAACCCCCGAAAGATGTTCACAATTTGGGTGTTGAGTGACATAAAAGTGGATGAAATGTTTGCCGGACTACAACTTCCAGACAATATACGAATCAAAAAGCTATCGAAATGAGCAAAATATTAAAAACAATAAAATATAGTTTTTGAATAATCAAAATTATTTGCTAAAATATAACTACAGTATATTTGAGATGTTTTTTCAATAACTTATTATTATATCAGATAAATGAGGGGAAAGGGAGTAGAAATTGGCTTAAAAGCAGGGCCCGGATTTGAACTCGGGGTCTCCTGATTACATGTCAGGTGTCTTACAGTATATTTTGTTTTGCAAAATTAGATTCAATTTAATAATAATTATTATTTATTATTAATAAACAAAATCACAATCTTTTATAATCTCTAAACAGTTAAAACAGTTATCGTTAGACAAAATCAAACAATGAGTGCCAGACAAGAGTAGTATCCAAAAGAGTGGACCTCCTATTAGGACACTGGTTGCCCTCAACATCGATGTCTTCATTGATATCTCATATCTAGAGATCCATGAGTTGATTGCATTGCAAAGAGTGTCCAAACAGTTCCATATGTGCGCCGACTATCACTTCCGACACAAGAAGATATCCTTTGGTTCAGGGATTAAGTTTATGACCAGTCAGTACGTACCAAGTAGACCGGTAGTTCCCAAATGTCATACCTTGTCATTATAAAAGACATTTTTATTCTTATAGAAAAGCATATAAACATTAAAAATTTTATCATCTTATTTAAATTTATATTTTATACTAAATTACTATTTTATAAATAAATATTTAAATATGGCTATACAAATTAATTATTTATTATTATATATCTATACACTGTACTCTGTATTGAATAACTTTAATTAATGTTAATAATGAATGTTTACTTTAGAAAAACATTAATTTCGACGATTTTTATTGTCAATTGTAAGTCAAAAATGAAAAATGCAGAATTTATAAAAACTAAATATTTACAGATATTTCTCAATCACTACACGAAATAAACCAAAACTCAAATTACTATAAACTTAATCATCCAAAACATGGCTCATATTACTTGCACTCTAATCATACAAATATCAACTCATCGATGGATTCAATGGAAACCATTGTGAATATGAAAGACATTTGGTGGCAAATCTTCACTGGATATGTCGGTGCGAATCACATACAACCATACAGTGAGACCAAACACCTGACACATCGGACACTCAAACGGTTTAAACGAACGGTTAATTATAAGGGGGCTGAAGAAGAGGTCGGTTCAGGTCATGGCTCAGACAACCTCGAAGTTGATGGCAAACTTCGGTCTCTGAATGGCGCTTCCCTTAAAGATATAGTTATGAAAAACTGCGGTATTTCTAAGAAACTGGGAAAACGTATCGTAAATGGGAAGACGGCGGAGGAGGGCACCTACCCCTGGGCCGTATCCATTGTCAAGTTCGGTGATGGTTGGTGTGGAGGTGCCATCTTGAATGAGTGGTGGATCATCACTGCCTCCCATTGTTTCATGACGTCTGTTATCTTCAAAATAAATTACTTTTTAAAATAATCTCATTTTGTTAACTAATTATCAGTGGATTGGATCCCAAGGAGTATGCCGTAAGAGTTGGATCTGTTAACAGGAATAGTGGCACCACTTATAAGATAAGCAAACTTATAATGCATGAGAGGTTTCATTTGGACGGTATGTATAACTCGGACATTGCTCTCTTGAAAATGAAAAGACCCATCAAAATGGGTGATACAGTGAACGGGGTTTGTTTGCCGGGTAACCACTACGAGGAGCCGATGACTGCCAGCCTAATAGTGGTGGGATGGGGTGTCACTGAATTTCGTAACAGAGATCTTCCCGATTACTTACAAGAAGTCACTCTACGAAGGGTTAGTGATGGCGAGTGTGCCGTAGAGTATAAAGCAAAAGGTAATACCATTTATAAGTCACAACTGTGTACGTGGGATAAGAGCAAGGATGCCTGTCAGGTACGTTAAAAGAAGTCACTCTACGAAGGGTTAGTGATGGCGAGTGTGCCGTAGAGTATAAAGCAAAAGGTAATACCATTTATAAGTCACAACTGTGTACGTGGGATAAGAGCAAGGATGCCTGTCAGGTACGTAACGTCCAAAATAAATAATTTAAGTTTTATAAATGATATTGAATATTAATTAATTTCTAAATATCAGGGAGATTCTGGTGGACCAGCTATTGAAATACAGAATTCTCGGGCTATTCTTATAGGGATTGTGTCGTATGGTTCCCGTTGTGCCGGTAATTCATATATTATTATTGATTATATATTTGTTTATTTGTTGTAATGTATAAATTATTTATAAAATTATAGACGAATTTCCAGGAGTTTACACTCAAGTCTCATATTTTCTCGATTGGATTCAACAACAAATTGAAGACAATTCATGAAATCAAATGAAACCGACGTTATTCCCAAAAACTATAATTTTTATTATTATATCATTTCGTTAATTTAATATTATCTGTATCTTATTTAAATCATTTAAAACTTTGATTTTATAATTCATGTTTATTTGTACCAATTATTTTTTAAATTTTAATGTTATCATTTATTTTTATGTTAACAAATTGCTTAAATTTAAGTATTTTCTATACTGTATTATTAAATTGTTTATAAGTACATAACTGTATAATAAACTTATCAAGTAATAAGTAATTTAAATTCCGGAGAAAAATATTTAATTATAATTCTATGAATTGTTGTGACCATTGAGGACAGAAATGAAAAGTTTTATATTTAGTTTAATTAAAATTAATAATGTAATCTCCTCTTTAATTATACGTAATAACACATTTATAAACATGATTATAAACAATTAATTCATAACATTGTTTTATTTCCTTGTCAAGGTGATAATTGCACAAAATTAGTTCTCATAAAATATTTGCATAGATTTAATTGTGTAATTTATAGTATTTTTATTAGTAAACATATGATTTAATATATTTATTAAATAACATTAATACAGTATGTACGAATCAAATATGGGTTACAAATTTAAACGATAATTGTAATGAAGCTAAACTCAATACAAGTTTGTGTAACGCAGACACTGTTTTTTAGCATTTATATTAGTAAGTATTATTTAAATTAACAAGTACTAAAACAATTAATAATATTTAAACTAATTTAAAGGTTCACTATGTTGCGACAGGGATTCCACTCAAAAAAATAAGACATCTGAAAGGCAACCAAAACACAACATTAGAGACAAAACAAACTTAAGACTAACTGACAGATGGTTTGCAGAAACAAATGGCAACGATTCCGAAGATAAGATACTTGAGGCGGGCTTTGGAGTGAGTAAACCAAAGCCGTGGCGCAAAGATGACGACGAGTCCATTGAGTTTAATGAAAAGGCAGAGATTGTCGTCGATTTGGATAATCCGGTGAAAGCGCCGACGCCTCAAACGAGAAGACGGGCGGACGTGCCCGGCCTGGCCCTCATCAATGCACACGGCTGTGGGGTATCCGACTTTCAAAACCAAAGAATAGTAAATGGGAAGGACGCTAAGTTTGGTGCCTATCCCTGGATGGTATCCATGCTTAAGAATGGGGATGCGTGGTGTGGGGCCAGTATTATCAATGACAAGTGGATAGTGACAGCAGCGCATTGTTTTATGAAGTAAATGTATTTGTTAGAATTTTTCATATTAGAAATCTGCTATGTTATAACATTTATGTACTCTACTCAATTTTTAGACCATAAAATATGATTTAATTTTGTATTCACAGTGAAACATTTATCATATTTCAAATTGTTTCACACAGTGATATAAATCCACGTTTGTATGCCATTAGAGTGGGATCAGTAGATAGGAATTCAGGTATGTTTGTATGAAATTAATTAATTCTAATATTAAAAACTCGATATTAAAATACATTTAATCAAAAGTGCGGTTGGGAAATGATATCCGTGCTGGATATTCCACCTGTTTCACCACCAAGTGCTCGCGAAAGTAAACCTGTTATACAAGTTAAGCCTGATCGCTTTAATGCGAGTCAACAGACCCATCAAAATGAGCAAAACTGTGAAACCTATTTGTCTGCCCACCCGTGCCTACGAAGATGCCAAGTCTAGTAGTCTACTAGTGGTCGGGTGGGGGCAGGTTACCTATGAAAACAAAGACTTGCCCATAAATTTACAAGAAGTAGTCCTCAATAGAGTGAATCTCAATGAATGCGCTGAGATGTACCAGGCTAAAGGCAATAATATCTACTTTTCCCAGTTGTGCACTTGGAATAAGGGACAGGATGCTTGTCAGGTATGCTGCAAATTAATTTAATACTATTCCATAAGATTCTTACAATTCTTATATTTTCTAAATTTATTTCACCTAATATTTGATAAGATTTTAAGTTAAATTTTTAGATAAATATTATTTGTTTATATTTTAAGGGAGATTCTGGAGGACCAGCTATTGAATGGCAAAACAAAATAGCCTACATAGTTGGTATTGTCTCGTACGGATCTACCTGTGCAGGTTTATTAGCACTAAATTAATTCCTGGCTATTGTTTTACACATTAAATTTCTAATATTTTTAGATGATATGCCCGGGGTCTATACGAAAATATCCTATTTTATCGATTGGATTATAAGACAGATCGACGACAAAAGTGGAAAGAATTAAGACAATTAAAATATTAAACATTTAAATCAATTTTGACTATTTATTGTAAATAAATGACTTTATATTAATAAACATAATTCCTGACCTATGAAACCAATTTGGTGTCTGTTTTTGCACTTATAAATAAAATTAACTTTATAATTTTTAAATTTATTATAAACTAATTTATAAAGTCACTATTTGTGTAGTAAAACTACCTGTGCTCACATATGGACTTTAATTTGTTATGACTTGAGAAAAAAGTGCAGTATTTATAACATTATGAAACTCAACCATTGGTTGAAATTGATTTTGTTTTACTATGAGATCTATAGGACACACTCGCAGACAATTGTCACCACCGATAGGATGAAGCGAGTGATAGGAACTCCGATCTATATGTACCTCAACCCAGACCAGTGGCTTGTGGAAAGGGATCGCATGTCTGCGGCCGTCCAATACTTCAAAACGTATGACACGGACCCGGAGTCGGGGCCCTCGAAGAAGACCCAATTCGTGATCAGTCAGCCCAAGCCGTGGCGTCGGGACGATGTGGTGGCCGCCCGGGCTAACAGAGCCGCAGAAATACCGGCCGACACACAGAACTCGCAGCTCGAGTTCAAACACTAAGACTAATCATCCCTTTCACTGTAATTCTTGGCAATAAATTGTTAACTATTCAGTCAACACTTAACTCATTGTATGCTTTAATAGGCACAGAATATTCTGTTCCCATTGGGCACTAGACTTAAACTGTCAAAAGTTTTATGCAGTTTTATATACCGCACAGTAATTAGTTTTGTTAAGAGTTTATGTTTAATTTTAATTGTGTTCCTATGGTTAAGCAAAGTGTCTGTCATTTGAACATAGATTAGACATCAAGTTAAAGATTATATACAATTAGCTAAAGATCCGTATAATTCACTTTAAATACAGCGTGTATTATACGGTATAAGAGGTACATAAATGTTGGCAAATATAGGGGGCAATGAAGGGAAAGGGTTATTCATTACTGTATTAATACTATGATAGACTATTCATAATTAAAAAATTAAAAATATAATGAACACAGTTCAATTGAATGACAGCCAGCACCTTTGCTGATGTTTACTGGACTAGTAGTCAATTTGATATTTTCTGCACAGTTTGCTGCACCTTTCACTTTCAGCTCGTGCAGTATTACTGACTGTAAACTTACACACAATAACAATTTGGTGATGCGGTGGCATAAGCATGAATGGGCACTATATGTCGTGCGTACGTCTGTGTGCACGTATGTGACGCTCAATGCGTGAATGGGCTCACAATCGCCATATTATGCCCGTTGAGCACTGCGTTAGTGAGTGAATGTGTGAGAGAGAGAGCGTGAGAGAGAGCCTGAGAGAGAGCCTGAGAGACACCGCTCTCCCGGCGAGAGAGACTCGGAGAGAGCACTGCTTAAGCTGAGGGAGAGTTCAGTTCACACACTAGTGTTGGATGTATTGCTACTCGCATTTAAAGTGCATTCACTCTGTGTTGACACCAATCGATGCACCACTCAATCAATTGTCTCCACTATTCACACCAATTACCACTCAATCAAGACATTCATCTGATTCAAGACATCACCACCGCTGCCATCAGTGTCCAAAGTATCACCGCGAGTACCAGTGATCACTCGCATGGTTTGCATCCCATTGTGCGGCCCATCGCTCGCACCACTCATTTGCGTGACATTTGTTTACACGACTAGTCGTCGTCTCCAATGATCACCACTAATGAAATCTCAAGACATCCACTCAATTGTCTCATAACTTATTGAATCCATTCGTACTCCCATTGAGCGCTCAGTCGGTCACTCGTAGTGTCCGTTCATATCAACTGTCAATTGATTTGCGAATCAAAAAGCAATCCATTGGTCGGTCGCGAAGACACCACAAGACATGAACTCTAACCCAAAGCGCGGCAACAAAACGCGTCCTCAGATGACGTCCCACACCAACAACAACTCGTCGCTGCAGAACATAAACACGTATTTCATGTGACCATCGCTGCCGTTCACATGTGTTTAACCCATAGTTTCTCTCTCTGTATGTCTAACAGAAAGTCGTCTCAAATGCGCCAAAAGTCTGGGCCCGTAGTGGAGAGGGCGGCCACTCCGGAGGGCGTCTACCATAACGGCCGAGTCATGCACTGCACCACATCTCTGGTCGGATGTCTCGTTCACATCGAGACCAAAGACGGCAACAAATATGAAGGCGTTCTCCGCACCTTCTCTCCCGATGTCAGTATTCACTCCCTTTCCATGCATACCATTCCCCCCTAATTATCAATTAACGCGACCTCTGTTTGTGACCACAGTTTGAACTGGTGATCGACTACGTGACCAAACTCGAGGCCAACTTCACGCCAATTATCGGCAATATCGGCACTCTATTGGCCAGTCTTCAGGCCGACAATCAGGTCTCCCATCGAGTAATCTTCCACTTCCCGGATGTCGTCAAACTCCACGCCATTAACGTTGACTTAAACTACGCCACAAATAAAGGTATTACTCGTGAGTTTGAGGCAATGGATTGAGTGATAATTATTTGGCACCACTTTTCAGGACATATGATGACTGACACAGAGATCAGTCGATTTGATTCGCGGCAATTGAGTCGAGACAAGGAGTTGGTTCCCTGGGATGGAGGGGCCGGCGATAGTGGCGATGAACTGGGCGACGAGCCCTCAGCCAATGGTCTGTCCGCACAAAACGGTTGGACCGCCGAAGACATGTTTCGCGTGAATGAGAGCCGATTCGCTGTGAAGAGTGACTTCAACCCCACTCTCGAACAATACACGTATGTCTCACCCCTTTGTGTCCTCCACTTGACTGTTGAGTTAACTGTCGCCATATGTCTATCCCTTTTAGGTGTCCACTGCCTCAGGGAGAGGGCGAGGAGTATGAAGAGAGGGACAGGAAGGCCTCGCAGTTGGCCGCAGTTATAGAGGGCGATCCGTCCCGTCAGGAACGGTATAACAAAGAGAATGATGACGACGAGGAGGCGTACAGCGCTGTGGTCAGGCCTACGGAGACGACCAGTAGTAACCAACACAACAGTCGCGGCTCACGCGGTAGTGGGGGCGGTGGTGGTGGTGGCGGTCGAATGCCAAGGAATAATTCAAACTATAGCAACAATAGCGGCCCTCCCGGTGCTAGAAGTGGCGGTCGCAGTGGTCCGTCGTCGGGGCCACTGATGACCTCTTCGCCGGCATTCCATAACAAGAACTCCGGTTATAACAAGCAGTTTGTGAACACGACGTCCAACGCAAACATGGGTCCGCCCTATAAGTCGCAGTCCTATCGGGAGGATCAGGTGTCCAACTATGGGCCGCCCTCTGGCTATAACTACTCGAAGCACGACTCGGAGGACTCTCCGACAGCCCATACGGCGCCCCCCGGACACCAGAACCCACTTCCGCAGCGAAGTATCGATAGTAACCGACGACAGCCCCCGACGTCTGGCAAACGCAAAGAGGAGCTCAACTCTGACCCCAAATATAGCAATGAGTATAAGTCAACGCCGGGTGCGACCGACTCGACGACGACGGCCCACAAAGACAACACACCGCCCGGTATTAGGAGTGAGGCGTCGCCGCACACGAAGCACCCGAACCCCAACACCGGCAACAGTAGTAACACTAGTAGTAGTAGTAGTCTGAGTGCTATCAGTGCTAACAATAAGAGTAAATCTCCGGTGAATTCGGTGGACGCGACGCCAGTGTCCGACAAATCTGATGCAATCGACGACCAATCGGGTGATAAAGAGCTCAGGGATAGGGACGTGACCGACAAGGGCGACAAACCAGACTCGGTTGACTCGCCGCCGTCTACTGGCGCCGCCTCCGAGCCAGAGGTCGCCAAGAAGTCTACTCTCAATCCGAATGCAAAATCATTTACACCGCGCCTACCGATGACGCCCATCAACCCGTCGGCCACACCGCCGTCCGTGTCGTCGACGCCGTCATCGACAATGTCAATGCCCATCACCGGACAGATGACACACCAGGTCCTGCAGCCGGCGCACAGTATGGGACAACAGTCACACGTGGCGGCCGTTACGCAATCACACGCCACGCGATTCACGAACCCATTAATGCAAATGCAGACCCTGTATAACGTCAACCCCCAGGGGCTCACCATGTCCTTAGGCAACCCCTATTTAATTCAAAACATGGCGGCAATGGCGCCCACGTATGCCGGCGCCCAGTCTAACCCCTCCCAGCAGCGGACGTTTCGCACGAAAGCTCCGCAACAACAGTACACTCACGCCGTGAGACACGACTTCCCGCAACAGACGGCACACGTGGCGGCTGCCGTCACCGGACACCCGGTGTTGGCCACGGGACCCATGGGTACGGCTCAACAGTCCATTGGCCCCACAGTCAGCTACCAGCAGACTATGGTCAACAACGCCAACCCCCAGCACATGTACACTCCGCACATGTACACCCCTTTCCACCCCCGGATGAATGTGAATGTATTACAGCAACACTCGGGTGGGATGCAGATGGCGATGCCTCAGGCCGTCCAATACGACCCCTCACAACTCCAACACATATACGCAAGTGAGTAGTCATACCAGTGTATTGTCGGGCAAATGGATGCCTATGAATAGACTGCTAACCATATGTCTTACTCCCCTTACAGCCGGTGTACAGCTCCAGCACTTAGTATCTCAACCGCACCAACACATGACAAACAGCGGCCCTCACTCGGGCCACAGTACCCCGCAGTCGGCGACGCCAACCACTCCACTGCACGGCGGGCCGGCCCCCTCTCCCGTTCATCATCAGCCCAACCAACCGCCTACTCCGACGCCACAGCAGGCGGTCATGTACGCCAACGTGACGTCGCCCCACAACCAGAACCCGGGACACCACCAGAGCTCAGGTGCGCCCTATCCTAACATTGTGCTCCTGCCTACTGGCCAGGCAATGGCCGGCGGGCACCATAGCGGTGGTCACGGGGCGCCCCTACACCCAGCACACGCTTTAAGTCATAATTCAACGCAAGCTAACCATCACAACCCAGGTGGACCGCCCACTGCTATACTCCCCGTACAACTAATTGCTAGCTCTAATGCCGCCAATTACAATGCCAGCGCCGGTACGTAATCCGCCGAGATGTAGTGGCCATTGAGACGAGTCTAATATTTTGTGTATATCTCTCTCTCTCCATCCCTTTCCCCACTACAGGCGTCTAAAGATAGCGTTTATTAGTTTAAAAAATTATATTAAAATCTATGAATAAGTAAATTAGGATTCGATGGCATTTCAACTCCAATTGAAACGAAAAAATTTCATTTTTAAATCAATTGAAAACCAAATTAAGATGTTATGAAAAAATTGTCAAAATTTAATTACAATTACAGTTATGCTTATGTTAATAGACTTATATTAAGATTTATAATTGAATTGCCGTTAAATCGAATTCAATTCAAATATTGTTTAAGAAATTAATTTTCAATTTTAGTTAATTAAAAATGTTTTTCATATAAATTGTCGTTTGCTTTCATTCGTTAGTCCATTTGGACTCAAAAGTGATACTTTCAAAGTACCGGTACTTCACATATGACTAAACTGGTCATGAATTGACTGTCAGCACCTGTACGACCCGTCTCATCTCACCTGTCAGTCACCAGTCTTAGGTGTGCTTGCCTACCACTGATACCATTATTCAACTCAAAGTTTTTATCAACTGTCCAGTGGTTATCAATCATTCAAACGTTGACATCGCAAACAATTTTTCAATTTATTTTAAGTATAAAATTGAGTGGTTTTAACAACTTTATAGTAACAAAAAATATTAAAGGAATTGATTCGTCGCTTAAGAAGTGGTGATGTCTTTCACACACCGGTTGGCGATTATACTCCCATTTGAGCGCATATTCTGTATATTTATTAAGTTTTAAATGACTTTTAGTTCATTTTATCCAGAGTTTTATGATTGCAATGTATTGTAATATGATAACTAATATTTAAAACATTAAAATCAGTATTTTATTTTAAAAAACATTTACCGGTACAGTATTTACTTTATGACTAGGGGTGTTAAATTGAATAAATTTATTTTGGGTATTGATATTGAACATATATAATAGATAATTTAAACTTATGGAAATATAAACCCTTAAGATACAATACAGTTGAATACATGACCAATGAATTGTCATGATAACGCCACTCGCGTGATTTTGCTTTGAAAACCCTTTTCCCGTCACTTACCCTAATATAAGGTACACTATATCTGCTTATAAGGTATTTAAATGACCAAAAATTGTCATGATCAAAAGAGATTAGAAACCCCTTTTCCCGTCACTTACCTTAATTTTAAAAAATGGATTTTACGGTATGCTATGTTTGTCTAATTTGAATGGTATTATATGAAAAATTGTCATGATGAACCAAAAACAATCTGACTAGAGACAAGAGACACAATGATATCTGTAAACTCACTCGAGATTATCATTAATGTTATTACTAATAACGTTAACCTCAAAGCATTTGATTATCAATTAACCGATGGCTCAAACGATTGGCACGGATTGCAAAGAGTGGCACAAAAGCAACAAAATCTCGTTTATCTGTCACTCAATTATCTTCGTTGTGGTCATTATGAATGGAATGATAGAAGAGTGGAATCGATTCTCAAGAGTCAAAACTCAAGACAATTATCATATATTGGACATCAATTGCATGTGATATTCGAGTGGATGATAGTGTGACATGTCTTCAGCGGATGTTTTATATAAATATATATATATTTTATATAAAAAAATTCCCATCAATACGACGATTAGCTATATATCCGGATATATCCGCACGAAATACAGGGGTTTTGTATCAGTCACTCAATGGTATCTCAAATGTGGTGTCAATTCATTTGTTGGTCGACTGGAAGTGTTGACAATTACACACACTTTTACCGACAATTGATTACTCATTTCAGTGAATTGTATGAAACAAATGAACGAAAAATGTTCACAATTTGGATATTCATTGACATAAATGTGGATGAATTTTGTTGCCGACTACATATGCCCGCAAATGTCTCCATCAAAAGGTATTAGGATTGAGACAAAGTTCAAGAAAGCAATTATATTTAGTCTTTTTGTCAAATACACACTCTTTTTATTATAGAAATTATTAAAGACTTATTTTAAGCTTAATTCATATTTTTCAATTAACTAAAATTATTTAAACCTCAAAAAGTATGTCATTTATGATAATAGAGAGAAATAATTTTCAAATTGTAAAGTATCTTATTGTGAGATATTTGAATAAGATCTGAAAATTGTTAAAATATCTAATATTTTTAATTAAAATTAAGCTGTATACAATTTTATAATTTAGATATTTAGTAATACTGTATTCACTTATTAATAAAATTAGTAAACAAGGAAACTTTCTCAAACTTTGTGTCAATTTAGAGTCAATCATAAGTTTATTAAACTTCTAACAAATAATACAATTATAAGTAAAAGTTGTAAAACAATGATAAGAGTTAAGCCATGCGTACAGAAAGTGTCGGACTTTTGTGATGAGAAAATGTGTCATCAGTTGTGACCCAAAGATAAGTTACTATTCGTCTCATTAATAGCTGACATAATTGACATCACAATTGACATCACAATTGATTCATTCAAATCCGAGTCCATGTCTTGACTGGCGATTGAAATACAAGTGGAAAAAGTTGGTGGCCTTGACTGGTGTGCAAAGTTTTGCGACTTAAGACCCGGACAAACCTGATTTCATTGTTGATTTCAGTCTCAACCCATTTCGCTGTTAATACAGTGCTTATCGTCGTATTCACTGCTCTTATAAACATATGAATGAATCAAATACTTTGAGAAATACAATACAAATATTATGAAATATAAATATCTGGACACAACTATTATTTCATTGTTGTTTGGTGTTTGTTGGCAACTTTCATCCGGCAGATTTTTGTTGAAGTCCAATGAAATAGAAAGTGAGTTAAAGGATGACAAACATGGCATCAAAATGGGAAAAGTATTTCACGGATGCGATGATGCGATGGTATGTCGTATTGGAGTTCAATATTAGTGTGGATTTCGTATTCATATTAATTATAATTGTTTTTCAATGTGTTCTCAAATTCCTTACACTTTATCTCAAGTTTCTGTTTGCATTCAATTATCTGTTAATTCATTGTGTGTTTGTAACAACTTTCTGGTATTTGATTAATACTTTCAAAATAAGTGATAAAATATATTCAAATAACTTTTCAATAGTTTGTAAATTCTTTTTAATTTGTTTCTACAAACAAATAAGATCTAAAATCAGATTGAACAGGGCATTTGAATTTACTTATTGATATTTTTTCTAACTACTGACTATTAACATGTAATGTTATAATTTTGAATTTAATTTACTTCATAATTGTCGACGTTTTATAACTTCTGATTCTGAGTTTGAAACACAAGTATTATTCGTTGAGATCTAACAAATAGCTTATATTATAAGTATTATTATACTATTGTTAAATTTATTAATTTTATAATTATTTACAATTTTGAATTATTTTTTCAGAATGACCTGGACATAGACTGGGACGGATCGCCACTAAACTATACCTGTTATAATCCTCAACACCCGTTACCAGTATTAAAACACATCACGAGTATTGAAACATGTGATNGACTGGGACGGATCGCCACTAAACTATACCTGTTATAATCCTCAACACCCGTTACCAGTATTAAAACACATCACGAGTATTGAAACATGTGATCCAATTCCTGATGGATATTATGTAATAAATGTTTGTAAACTTTTATTTGTTTTGAAACTAAACTGTTAATTGTATTGATGGTAAGCCTCAACACCACTGTATGGGTGACCCAATCGTCTACAACACAACACTTCCCACATATGGAGACCACAGACCTCTTTGGCCGGTGTTTGGAGAATACATATTCGTTCCCAAACAGCGATGGCTTCATAACATTGAAGTAGACTTTCATTCATACGATATTTTTTCATGCTTTCCCTTATATAACAATTCAAAAATCACTAAACTTATACCTAATATCTATATCTATATCCATAGCACGGGGCAGTTGTCATGTTATACCATCCCTGTGCTAACAAAGTACTTGTGTCTCGATTGCGAGCACTGGTCACCAGTTGTATGCGAAAGCATGTCATCACTGCTTATAATTTGATGGACAGTGAGAGACCACTGGCACTGATCGCATGGGGCTGTCGGTTGACCATGAATACAGTGGATACGGATACTGTCGTTTCATTCATTAAAGTAAGTTTTCCATAAGGAATAAGTGAACACTTTATAAATACACTATTTCATGATGATGTGGATCAATTTTATACTCAAACTATGCCTCTATTAATGAATAATCACAGAGAAAATCAATGAAAGGTCCGGAGGGTCCCTACCCTAAGGAGGGTCAATACAAACACCTATTGGTGAAGTTGGCTGAACCCCCGCACGGCTCGGACTATAATGACTCCAAAATATGTCCTCATTTTTAAACCTAAAACTTATATTATTTTTTTTTATAAATTATTGATTTTATTATTAATTCTAATTTGAAATGTTGTTTCAAATATTTAAACCAAACTTATGGCCAAAACTCATGTGATTATAGATTGTTTTAATTTGAATATTTTTTGTTACTATAAAGTTGTTAAAACCACTCAATTTTATACTTAAAATAAATTGAAAAATTGTTTGCGATGTCAACGTTTGAATGATTGATAACCACTGGACAGTTGATAAAAACTTTGAG